CCAGATCATATCAGGATCCTCAATACCAATACGCAGGGCAGTCTTTTACAACACAGGCGTCGGAAAATGGAGCGGCGTCTCAGCTGAACCACCTAGCGTTCGGGGCCAACAACTCAACCAGCACGTATATGCCACCAGTTGTGCCGACGGTGACCTCGTATCAGCCTACGAGCGGTGGATTTGGGACTAAGGTGGTCATAAAGATTTCGGTGCCTTATGGTTTTCTCGACGCCGCAAGTCACTTCTTCCTCACGTTTGGGTCACAGAGGAGCACGGCGCATGCGGTCCGGGACGACAGCGACACCAGCGGTCTTGGGTACGTCGTCAGCGGAGATGCACCACAGCTGGAAGACACGAGGAGTTTGAGCGGCAACGTGCCTATATCACTTCTGGTTGAGGGCACAGACGGACAGACGTTAGCCAGTATCGATGTAGGCACGTTTGCCTATGACACACAGGCTGTGAGCGCGGAAGGGTCCCATGGAGACATCACGCGGAGACTGTCGGCCGGGTCACCTGAGGAGGAGCAGCAGCACCAGCACCAGCACGGGCACCAGCATCAGCATCAGCATCAACACCAGCAGCACCAGCAGCACCAGCAGCACCAGCACCAGCAACGTGCATCACCCCCTAGGGTTTACAAGCAGGAGGTTTATAAACAGGAGGCTGATCAGCTCAACGAGGCCACCGCCGTTGCCGCTACAAATACATACCCCTACGCCTCGGCACCACACCAGGCTGTCGCCTCCAGCTATGACGCCCCAGACTACCCCAGCTCCAACAACAGTAACAACATGCTCTCCACATACCCCCGCCATTCCTATGGCGCCAACTACCCTCGGCCAGCACCGCTGCTGAAGACGTCTACGTGGTATGGCCCCTCTCTCACGTCTCCTCGCAGCCCCCCGGGCATCCACCATACGACAATCGCTCGATCCACGGTGACAGCGCTGCCCATACCGACGTCAAGCACGCCGACGTTGATCCGCACAAGCACACTGCAGACGTCGGGCACCGGGGCAGGCGGTGGCATGAACCCCTACGCTCTCTACTCAACCAAGGCCGTTCTCAAGATCAACGGAGACCTCGAGTCGATGGCCAGCAACTGGACGCCCGAGGAGTGTGAAAACGGCCGCCGGCTCGTGCTGTTCAGCAAGAAGCAGCAGGGCTCGACGCTCTCGACGACGTTCAAGGCCGTGTCAGCCAGCGAGCGACCGCCCAACAGCATCTGCATCAGCTGCATCTACTGGCCCGACAAGCGCGAGTGTTTCGTCACCAGCGTGGACACGATTTCGCTACTAGAACAACTGCTGGCCGCGCCCAGCCGGTTCTCGGTGGAGGAGAAGAACCGTATCCGTCGGAACTTGGAAGGGTTTCGTCCCCTGACGGTGAGCAAGGCGAAGGCCGATAGCGAGGAATTCTTCAAGATCATCATGGGGTTCCCGAATCCGAAGCCCCGGAATATCGAGAAGGATGTCAAGGTGTTCCCCTGGAAGATCCTGGGATCTGCTCTCAAGAAGATCATATCAAAATACGTGAGTTTACATTCTTCGGCCGTCGTTTTTTGGCCCTTTTTCTTCCTTCCTCTTTCTACTTTTTACAGTTTTGATCCTGTCGCCTGTCTCGTTCCCACGCCAATCGCGATACCTGGTTCTGTTCTATGGTTTTCTCACCTTGGTCCCGTGAACATGCGACCTGGAGACAGATTTCGACTCTGCTACGCCTGTACTTCATGCATCCATCGCAAGACTCTCTACTCTATTTAGCCCACGGCACATTTCATTGCACATTTCATTACAACTAGCTAACGTTTTCCCTACCTATAGTCCGCGCATCCTCCAGCAGGAGATTCATCAAGCCTTCACCACCCGCCGCCGCCCTACCACCCGTCGTCGGGTCCTCCACTCCTCACGCCCGTGAGCACCACCAGCCCTGGGCTCTACGCACCGCCTCACACGCCCACCATCGCAGACTCGAGCTATCCGCACCACGACTCGCAGACGCTGGCCTCGCCGCGATCACTCTCGGGTGCGCCGGCGAGCTGGGGCCCCTACTCGACGCGCACGCTGTCGCCCGGCATCAAATCGCACTCGCCCCAGTCGGCGGCGGGCATCCGCATCCCGAGCCTACCTGCGTACACGACGAACCACTCGGCGGCGCACAGCTACGGCATCCCGTCGCACGGCCACCATCGCTGGGACGCGAATGGCTACAGCGAGGCGCCACCCGCGTACTCGAGCCACCAGCAGCACTCCAGTCATGTGTACGGTACCAGTGCATACGGCGGCGGTGGCGGTCACCACCGCGAATAATTTCAACCGTGACGTTGGATGGCGAACGCTGGGCGCGCGCAAGCAAGCAAAGCACAGCAAAGCACAGTAAAGCAAAGCAAAGCAAAGCAAGCCGGCAAACCTGCCATGCTACGTGCCATGCAGGAGGATAAGTTGGCCCGGACGAAATGATCCATGGGCGCGAATGCCACCATTTATGATCAGTTCAAGTCATGCCCCCGGGCGAAGTCGCTGACGTGGACTCCTCACCTGCCCACTCGATATACCTTCTTGGCGCCATCTCCGTCTTCTCCTTTCCTCTCCGCTTACTATCCAAGGAGGAAGGGGGAAAGGGAGGAAGGGAGGGTTGGCTTTTCCCCTTTTGCATCCCTCTCCTTGTTTACGCCACAGCGCCCATCACTCGAGCTCGATCTAGTCTCGGTTTTCTAGTAGTACACCCCGTCAGCTTGTAATAATGATCAGTCACTCCTGCAATTCCCTGTGACTTTCCCCGAATGCGACGACGCGGGGATTCGGCCGCCGTCCCTGGCTACGAGGCGCGAGGAGGAGAGCCCAAGCTTGCTTATGTATGTGGTGCACATGCGCGCGCATGTGGGTGGTGTGGGGAGTTGAATTAACCTACATCCTATGGTCAGCTGGGTTGTCGACGGGCCAATGACCATGCCTCCCACATCTCCATCTTCTCCTTCTTTACTATCACCATCCCATTGATCTGATTAAGCCTTGCTTGCTTGCTTGTTTGCTTGCCTACCTCTCTACATACCTACATATGCACTTAATTACTTCATTACACAACTCGACCTGCACGCGACCGCCAACACGCTCCCCAGCCCGATTCCCGATACGCACATGAAACAAGCACATGGTATTTCATCCCGGTGAATATGACCCTAGCGACATCTTGGCAGGAAAATCTTGGTATTTCCCCCCCCCTTTTTTTTTGGTCCTCAACGGAGCGACTTTTCCACTACCTATCCCTTTACCTATCGGTATCGCAACAGACCGGGTGAAATCCGGTCTGCGCTCTCCTGCATTATGACAAGGCTGCCTCTACATTAACTGCATGCATGAGATGCGCGCGCGGCACGACCCGGCCCTTGTCGGCCCAGGTGGGAGCCAAGGAGATTGCGCGTGCACGCGCTCGTAAACGAATCCTACCTATCCGTCATGTCATCCCCAAAGACAGGCTGGCATGCGTCGCCGCCAGCCACTCTCGTCACCACAATTACCTTCACACTGCAATTACAGCTATCTATGTCGGCTTTACTTATTAGATTGTCACCATCATCACCATAGATGCAAACTCTGCTCGGCGTTTACTATTTTTTGCTTAGAATCTTTTTCAGCCACGCGACAAGACGGCCCCATCCAGCACACAGGGAGGCGCATTGCATTTTTATTCTCAGAGGCTTTTGTTTCTCCCACACTTTCCATTCATCCTTTTCCCCTACTCTGGTTTTAATCTCTGCCTCTCTTTCCCTCTCTTTGCCCTTTTGGCCTATCTTTTTTTTTTTTTTTTTTTTTTTTTTTTCATTAAACCAACTAAACACTTGTATTCTACAGCGAGGAGATTCCCTTGCTATTCGCCTTCTTTTTTCTTCTTCGCTTCCTTTACACTACGGGCTTTTTGGAGTGGAGTTTAGGACTGGTTGGTTGGTCGGTCGGTTGGCTAGGGCTTTTGGAAAGGGGACATAGATGACTTGATGGACGTATGCGCTGTTAGGCGAATGAAATGAATAGACGAAATGATCTGGATACTTTGATCTTGGGGTCTTGGGTTGCTTGAGTGAGTTCTTAGCTGGGTAGTTGGACGGATGGGGATGGTTATCTGAGATGACGAGCATATGAGAATGGGAAAACGAGCAGAACGTCAGACTACCCCCATCCATCCATCCACCATCTATCCATCAAGGTTAAGCACGCGGATGAGGTGGAGATTTTGGATGTGGTGCCAGGTGTTTATTTATTTAGCTATCTATTGGTCTGTCTTTCAGGCTGGGTTGGTTGGGGATTACTAGCATAGCATTATACCCTTATCCTTCTTCTTCTTCTTGTTCTTCGTCTTCTTATTCTCTCCCTCCTTCGTCATTTCGCCCTTCTCCTTCTTGTCACTTCCTACCCAATTTCTCTCATTTTACAACCGATGTCTACTCCCCGCATCTGATCTATTCCCTCTGTCCGTCTGTCTGTCCCTCTCGCCTTGGTTCCACTTCTGGTTCGGTTGGTTGGGCTCGGTTCACAAAAAAAAATGGCGCTTCGATTCACTCATATTGAGAAGGGGGTCGGGCAGGCAGGCATGGTCCAGCCCCCCAGTATTATGTATTGGTTTGTTTAGGTTAGGCCAAACACGGTACCGTATTAGACAGGCATTGCTCATTCATTTGAAATCCCAATTCGAACATTGGTGATATGACAGGATATAGCAAGATCGATCCTATTCATAGTCGGACTTTTGAAGGAGCAACAAACAACCAGTATAATATCCATTCGTATACTACCACATTGTGTGTGCTTAGAGAGGGGCTAAGCGTGCGTGTCGTTGTACTAAGTGATATACCTAGTAAACTAATCATTAGGCAGGTTGGCCATGGCTTCCCCTAACATATATTGACAGGATAGATGCCCTCTCTCGGCGCTTCCCGATAGGTGAAACTCTACTAAACGTTATTAATCTTCATCGGGCCTTGACTCGTTCATCAAATTCACAGCGGCAAGATGGCCGAGTTGGTTATGGCGTGAGGTTCAGGTCACCTTAGAAGAGATTCCTCATGGAGCAATCCGCGTGGGTTCAAATCCCACTCTTGTCAGCAGTTCTCATCCTTGTATGATTCAGTTTTGTGATTTCTTTTTCTTTTGGAGCTGTGTATGGGCGGTGTTGCTCCTTTAGTCGTAGCGTTCGTTGTGTTGTCGCCTGGACATAAACCGTAGAAACTCGCACCTCGAATAGGGCTGCGGCGTAGCGTAGGTATCTTGAGTACATCCTTCTGATCTATTCCACATCCTGCTTCTGAAGTCTCATTCTTCTTTTATTATTGTATTCCTGCCTGGCCTTCTTCCTACCGAACATCCTCCATCATATCCTGCAGCGTATTCCACCTTGCATCGCCTTCCCACGGCTCCTTCGCCTTCCCCATAACACTCCGGATTGCGCTCCGCGCTTTTCCCTTCCACCTACCCCCGATGCTCTCGAGGCGCGACCCGTAGTTCTCGTATGCGGCGACGAGCTCTGAGGTCCTCTGGACCACAATGTCCCACGCCTCTGGGTCCGTCAGCCAGCTGCCCTCTTGGCCTCCGCCGCTTGACGCTGATAGCGCACTTCCAACGCCGCCGACGGCCGTGCGCCAGGCCTTCTCTGCGGCGTCTAACGCGCCTGCAAAGTCGCGTCGCCATGCTCGCAGCCTAGAAACCAGGCTCCAGCACGCCGAGTTCGACGTGATGAGGGGCACGATTTCGCCCTCGAATAATGCAATGACCTTGTTCTCTAGTGTACCACGTGCTGGTTCGTGTATCCGATCCTCTCCGTCCTTGATCGGCACTGAATCCTTCGTCGCCTCTCGAACCAGGAGGGCGAGAATCTCGATATCCAGCGCGCTCTCCGTCTTACGAATATGGATGATGCTCTTGACTCCTAGAATAATATCATCAAAAGCGGGAGTAGGTTTGAGACTCGCTGCGATCGTAATCACATTATCCCAGATCCTCCAGTTGGCGTTTGCGACAGTAGCACCGCGCTTAAACGCGGTTAACGAATCTTGTAGTAATCGTGATGCGGAACGCCCGAGCTCTGCGGCTCGCTTCGTACTCGACATATCATCCATATCGTATGGCTCCTCCGCATCGATCCTCTCCTTTCTCACCTTCGCTTCAGCAATCACTTCACGATACCAGCTGAGGAAGGCGGTACCCAGGTTACTCCAAGTCCGAGCATCCTCACCACCCACCTTTTCGTTAGCCGTTGCAATAGCTCGTTGGAAAGCCTCTGCTGCGTCAGGGAAATGCCCAAGGCGGAGTTCTATATCCCCTAGACGATTCCATAGTTCTGGGCTCAATCTATTGACGCCCACGGCAAGTTGATAGGCCTGGCGCGCTTCATCCCACTCTTTGTTTTGGAGATGGAGCTCACCTAATGATTTCTGTGCCCGCGCAAATCGGCGGTTGGAAATTTCCCATGCTCGCGTATAATGGTTGGCGTCGTTTTCCATGTCACCCAAGATGCTAAACAGCCGAGGCGCGTTGGGAGGAGGCGGTGACCGCTCCGGCCCGTAGAAATGGCTTGGTTGGATCGAATCAAGATCTATGTTGTCTTCATCGTCAATATGATCAGAAGGCTTTCCGGACTGGTCGGCTCCTGGCAATCTCTTAAATAGTCTCCATCTCACAATAGCACGGGCCTTCTCCTCACCCCCAGCACCGCGCCCGCCTGAGTCATCTGACGCCGCAGCGCTGGCGAGGCAGAGAGCAACCTCCGGCCAGAGCCGCAGACGTTTGAATATTTCCAAGGCGGAAACGAGAGACCCGACAGATGTCCAGGCATACGCGAGTTCTGATTCGAGATGCCAGCGTGGAGGTGACGCCAATGCGTTCACATAACGCAGGCGCTCCTTTGGTGTTGCCGATTCAGACGGTTTTGGGACTGGTAAGAATGATGTTGGCTTGTTAATGTTGGTGTGAGCCATGGGCTCATCATCCGAAGAGACTTGAATTGTAGGTATATCGGCGAAATCTGATTGGGGTATGGCTGCTGGAGGGGGATCTTGTGTGTCTACAATAACCTGGTCCGCGACAGCTTGCATCTGAAGCACACCTCGCTCGACGGTTCGGCTTCTGTTCAGCTCGATGCGTGATCTTACGAGGAGAGCTTGAGTATATATCTGCCAATTAACGGTTTTGTCGTCAATAACTCTCACCGCGTACGGAAGTATTTCCTCTAGGGTAAGAGAGTCGGAAGGAGAGAAGGTGTCTTTCAGAGTAGCCTCAGTAAGCAATATGATCTGGTCTACAGGGCGCAGCTCCGGTTGATTATCTGGCTTCACGTCCTGCAGCTCGGCGGGAAGCGAAGAGCCCAAGCTAGGAGCTTCGTCGGTATTGAACTGAATCTTCTCTAACAGTGTATCATCGTTTAGCGGTAGTGCTGGTGGTGCGGCTTCATTCGCCGCCCGTGCCTCAACAGGTTCGGATGATAACTGTAAGCTCTTTGCGAGGACTACCAATTGACTGAAACTATTTTCTTGCCACCGCGTTCGCTTGCCCAACGCTCCGGAAAGGGCGTAAGTGAACCCACTGATTTTTGCAGCGTCCTGTAGAGCCGAGCGAGCCTTGGTGTCATTGCCCAGCAAGATCTGGCAATTGGCTTCTTCTAATCGGAACAAAACCTGAGACTCAGAGGGCCACGAGGATTCTCCGGCAGGCTCACCAGTACGGCTGGTTCTGAATATGGCAGTTTCCGCCTCGGATAAACTCGTCTCAATTAACTCTTCTAGAGTAGCTACATCAGTCCAGCGGCCCCCCTTGGTGTAAAGAGACCCAGGGCCCAGGGAGGGCTGAGTGAGTAACTTATAATGCCATAGGTGGATCCTGAATCTCGTCCACGCCAGGTGTTTTGCGGATGGGTGAGATTCGGCAGTAGGTAAGATGTCGCTTGTGATCAATAAAAAGCGAGCCAAGCAGAAAAATTCGATGTAAGGAATATGAGGGTAGGGAGAAACGCCATCAATGTTAAGAGATCGCTGGCAAAGAGACCGGAAGTTCTGTATTATTCCAGTTCCTAGATTTTTGGCATCCTCAGTACCTAGAGTTCCGTTTGTGGCCCTGTGAGAATTCCTGAAGGCTTCAGTGAGGATGTCGTTGGCCGACTTGGCATTGTCGAGAACAGGCCCGGTGACGTTGGCTTGCAGGAAAGAAGCTAGAGATACCAGTCCTAAACGGACAGCTGCTGTCGCTAGTTCTGTTGGCGGTGCTGGTGATGCAGTACCGGGCTGGTGATTACCCGACTGTGACTGCTCCCCGTCTTTTTCTAAGATATCTTGGGCGAAGCGATCGACTAGTTCTTTTGATAGTGGTTCTGCCAGCAGCTGATTGAGGCTGGTCTCTAAAGCTGTGTTTTCTATCGAAAGAAGAACATCGGGCGAGAAGGTTTCCGGCGATGCCCCGTTACTCAGAGCTGCTTCTGAAGTATCGCGTGTAATTTCCATTTTATTTTTTTGTTGTTGCCTTGCGAAATTTACTTCTTTCTTCTAGGACTTCTGGAATCCTTGATGAGATGAACCACAGTGAATGAATGCTCAAGTACTTACGCGTAAATCTGCATTACGGGATCTTTTGCCGTGATGAACGGTAATAGAAAATACTCGTCTTTATTATCCACGGCAGCCCTTGACAATTGATGCAAATAATAATAAATAAAACATATATCCCTGCAATCATTCGAGTTGGTGGCGTCGCAAAAGACGTAGTCTACCCACGCGGAATTAGTGAGCAGAGAAAATTATAAGTAGTAGCACGCAACTTTTCATATACCTACATGTATGACTGATATGGTGGGGGAGGGGCAATCGAGGGGCAGGTACCTCAGCCTGTGTAGACTCTTAGGTACCCTAGCGTAAGGGGTGCAATAGATACATACAGGTAGGTACCTTGTAAAGAGGTTAAGCTGATACTCAAGGTGGTCGGTGCGCAAGAAATCAAAAGTGTCTAGCTCGTCTCGGTTAGACTTACTTTCTAATACTTAGCATACAAGATGCGATGATGAATCTTGCTTCAGCAAGTATTTTCACAGCTGGAAAATGAGGCACACAAACCAGTAAACTAGCCACTTGATATGTCACCACTACTACTACCTATATCCGTAGTTTTATGCTGTGTGCATCAAATAGGAGGCCAATTGGGTACTTGCCAGGTTGAAATCGCTCCTTTACTTCATACTAATCGAGCTACATAAGTAACATGATACGGCTCATGGTAGTGCTCATGGTAGTGCTCATGGTAGTGCTCATGGTAGTGCTCATGGTAGTGCAGAGCATAGGTACATCTTAATCGTCGCCCTTTATTTCTTCCCCTTCTTCCGAGACGGAACTACCTTGAAACCGGCGCCCTGGATTGAGCTGGAATCGCTGGCGTTGTCTTTATGACTGCTCTTCTTAGCCACCTCATTCCAACCACCCGCACTATTGGACTGCGTGTCGCCCGACGGGCTGTTGACCGGCTGCTTCTCTACCACACCCTTCTCAGCAAGCCTCTTACGTCGGATGAACTCTTGGGCAAAGTGTCGCCCGTCCATCGTCTTGGAATTAGCGTACACAGCGTCTGAGATAATATCGGGCATAAGAGGAAAGCCCATTAAGGTCGACGCAAAGGTCTCGACTGCATCAACGAGTTAGCATATGCCTTAGCCGCGCCCGAATACCTCGGAAAAGGCTTGGGCTAGATGACTTACTGTCCGTAACACCAGTGATGCCTCGAGCTAACTGACTATGCAGCCACTTATTGAACTCATCCATGGCCTCTGTTCGTCCGCCGCCCGTTGCCGAAGACGTGCCTTTGAGCGTCGGACGGGGCGAGATGGCCGGCGTGCTGGGTGCAGTGGCCTTTAGACCCGTTGAACTAGCCGACCGAACCTGCAAGACAGGACCGGTGGAAGGAGCCTTAACCTTGCCGCCCGCGCCAACGGTAGCCCAACCGGAGCCGCCCGACGTAGCAGCGGCGTTATTCCCGCTAGGTGTACCGGGCGTGCTCACAGCTGTAGTTTTGCTAGCCAAATCAGCGTAACGCTTGCCTCCAGTCGAAGTCACCCCGCTTTGCACCGCAATTT